TGTATTCATTCTATCTATCTATCTATCAAACAACAGCAACAAAAATCCATTAAGTTCTAAATAAGCCTTATCTTGAATGCTTCTGATGCATTTCCCATTACCCCCAGTAGTGGAAACAACAGAATGATGAGGTCCTAGCTCCAGTACTCTGATATGAACTGTCCTCTATGAACTTCTCAGATGCTGTAACCAGAAATAGCTCGGACAGAAAAGGAGCAAGAGGTAAAGGCCGTTACCCGTTCTGTGCTGCGTGCCCGGAGCTTTTGTACCGCCTGTATGACGGCCCGTTAGCTGGGAGCTCTAGGCAGTAACTTGAGAGCAGAGTTTTGCACATCCTACAAGCTTTCTAAACACTGTCCTATTCATTTAATTACTGCCTCCTAGTAAACGTTAGATAAATGTCAGGGAGACTGACAATTTTATTTGAATGCCTCTCCTGTCTCTGACAGATAGGCTTTTATTTGTGGTCTTGAGGCTGAGCAGAACTGGCAATAAATGCCTCAACAAACCCCAAGCTCAGACAGGACCTTTTAGCCCTTAAATGACCCAAGCTCACATACACTTGCTGGTGCAACCCACTACAGGAGAGTGGATTCAGTTCTTATATACTTACATCTAGCTAGAGCTTCTGTTAGTCTCATTCATTTCTGCACAATGCTCAAAGAATTAAGTACAAAATATGAACGCCAGTTCTGAGCATTACCTCAGAAGCAAGGTCAGGCAAGCTCTTCTGAAGGATGACATGCTGAGGGGGAAATTCCTTCCAAGAGACTTCATTTCTCGTTTTCCCCCTGTAAATGTGGTTACCGACTTACAGCTTTAATTTTTATATGTAATTAATATATGAAATAGTTACCTTTACAAGAGAAAAGGGAAACACCGCTGTAATTTGTTTATTGTGATAGGGAACCCAAACTCAACTCTACTCATTCAAAACAAGTACCAGTACTGTCTTGCAGACTTCACCCTACTTGCGCCGCTAGATATAGTCAAATGTCTGTCAAGGTTTCCATTAGGCTTACAAATGTATAAAATTAAAAATAAAATTTGCCCATGCTTTGCATTATTTTTTAAGCTGCCAGTTTGCCAGGACAAAACTTCCAGGCCCAAGCCAGCCCATATGCCTTTCATAATTACAGTACAGCCGCCCTACGTAAATCAGTGTATTTTTTTAGTTAATTATGCACATGATTAGCGCTTCATAGCCAGTGCAACGGAGTAGTTGTTGTCATTCATGGTGACATCTAGAGCAGCAGTGAAAAGAAAAAATTGGTGATACAAGAGCAAGATCTATTCCCCATCTCTGTTTTGGTCTTCTGTATTAAGTCTTACCGTTATTTACTGGGAGATGATTGCTAGCAATGCTAAGCTCACAGCTCCCAAGAGGAAGGAGTAAAGCATCTTAAGCAGCAATGCTAAGCTCACAGCTCCCAAGAGCATTAATGCTTAAGATGCTTTACTCCTTAATGAGAGGAAAGGCTCTGGAGATTTTCTGCTTGAAGAACAACTTCTCGCATGAGATCACACATTATTCTCAGGGAAAAAGTTTTAGTACACCACAATAACAAAAGTGTACATTTGAAGATTATTTCATCTTTTCACACAATAAACATACACTCAAAATGCACTAGTGAAATTAACCTACTATCCATGCATATACAATATGCAAAAAGTAAATATTTCATTCTACATTTTTAACAGAGCATTTCCTTCAGTAAGTAGCACAATCCTGAAAATCCATCAGAGAATAGTGACATTCCCCAAGCGGGTATGTGGCATTTTGCTCTCCCTAAGCAGTTTATCTGCCATTACAGCTGACTGAATTTTTCATCTGTGAAGCATTGCCTTCTGGATCACACAACCACTATGTGACCATTTGAGACAGTGGTACCATTTAACAGACCAGGAGGAAGAGTCAATGTCTTCCCAAATTCATATTGTTAGTACAGTGTGTTTTAAGACTATTCTTAGTGAACCGTATTTTTTTTCCTGTTTTGTTATAATTTCTCATGTTATCTAAGGGAATTGGGAGGTAAAGATGAAAGGCCTCATTTGTTTATTCTGCTGCTAAACCTAAAACAGTTTCCTTATAAGAGAATAATGAAACACCACTCACTGTGATATTGGCCTAAAACCAGAAACACATGTGATCAAGTACGTAGTTTATCATTAACAGGACACGTATTAAAGACTTTACCATTTTTTGCTCCTCTTTTCCCCAAATACCAGAGTACAGTGCAGTGGGTAAAAAGCAGATGACAAGCAGTGTATTTGAATGACAAGTGCTGAAAGGAAAATTTGTTAGATTTTAAATAATTCAAGTCTTACTAAGACTGGCAACCTGCCTACACGTGCGAATGACATTTGCATGTACTGTTATTATCATGGAAGTCAATTCAAGAAAGCAAGAAATACCTTTGCCTGAATCAGTAAAGCTTTTAAATATATGTTCAGTTAAAATATCAAAAGCTACAAAGTGTGACTGCTCATGTACTTAAAGCAAAGCAGATGCTGCTTTGTTCAGCTGAATCATATTTGTACGCTCAGTAACTTGGCAAATCTAAAGTCAACTGCACAGAGCTTTGTGCACTCACTTTGCAACATTTAAGTTTTTCCTACAGAAAACTTGTTACTGCTGTTCCATATTACATAGTCCTCCTCTCCTTTCATCCAGACTAAGTCTGGAAAGAAATGCTTCTGTAACACACAATTCACAGTTGTGACAACTACAGGTCTTAAAAATAATCACTGATTGTACCAGTTTTCTCCTTTTCCTTAAGCATAGGGACTAATATACAGAAGAGCAATTTATTGTTCCTCTTGAAGTCTACACATCTGCTGATCGAAATTCAGAGTTCTTTAGCCTTATTTTCACAATCAATACCTACAGAATCAAAAATGGAGGCCAAAGATCCCTCTCAGCAACATCTTACAGTTAACAGGCAGAAGTCATGGCAGTCACCCTATCTCATGATTTCCTTGCAAGAAACAGAATTTCTGGGTTTTAGCTTCTTTGCCGCATTTAAGAGCTCATCTCTTATACTAAGATTCAGAATGTCTTCATTAATAACTTTGACAACTCCAAGGAACAGACCCTCTAACTTGAGAGATTTCACAGACCTCACCTGGAAGAGACGCGCGCAGCTCGATCCTGGCTCCAGTGAGCATTCCAAGGTGCTGCATTCCAAGTTCCTTTTGTTCAGAGAAGTGAAAAACACTCAGGCAAACTTGCATAACTGACATAACCAGTATCTATTGTTTCCTAAGTTTTTGGATAAGCTGTAAAATACCGCTTTTTCTTTCTAGTAACTGATATAGTGTCCAACATCAGATCAAGCTGTTATCTCTTGTCCTCATTTCACTCATCCTCATTTCTTCTTCCTCTATATTAAGCTAATTTGATTTTTTGGGGTCTGTTCATTATGACATATACTGACTTTGCATATAAGTGTATCTTAATAGCATAGGTAAGCCAAAACATAACCCCCCCCCACTTTTTACAGTAGTACTGTTTAAAATGCAGAATCAGATAACAAACAGTACAGAAAACATTTAATGCAAAGTTAAATACAATACAAACTTTATTAAAAATAGGTTGCAAGTGAAATACAGTAGAAATGGGAAACTACAGCAGTTCTGATGTTTTTCATAATAATGCACAGACAAATATATGAAAAGCACTTTTACACATATTCACACTTGACCCAAATGCCCAATGGCGGCCAAATCCACTCAACTGAAGGTTATAGATATTCTTTTGCTAAGCCTTTTTCAGATTCTAGCAGCAATAGTAAATTCAGCCACAGCATAAGTTTTTTTTCTTTTTTTTCCTTAAGAAAAATTTGTCACTGTAAGGCTGCTAGTGTTCTTAAGATAAATTGGGAGAGGCTTGCTTTTCCTGATTTAACAGACATAGCAAGCATGCAAATCCTTCATTAACACTTTGAACCAGTTTAATCTTCTACTTCATATTTAACAGGTGAAACGGTAAAAGCACACTTTCAAATAAGAAACCTGAAATACGTAAAAAATATTTACACTCCAATTTTCATTAACTTGCATTTATTTATCATACAACTCTTATTAAAAGTGATTTCTTTCCTAAGGCAGTGAAAGTCTACCCCTCTGTATTTGGAAGTGTGCACAATTCCCTAAATATATATTTATAAGAGAACAATATGATACAGGAAAAAAATCATCTAAAGCCAGTAAAGGGCTTTGTCAAATAGAAAATTTGTTTGGAATCACAACATACATTGTCCTAACATCACACAACGAGAAAAACTCTGATGAGGTCCTTATCTCCAGCATCATCAGCCACATATGCATAGCTGAAGAAACAACAGTGGGAGGAAAAAAGATTAACAATTTAAAATTAAATAAGGCTATTACAGTGTGAAGAAATACCTTGAACTGCCAAAACATCTTTCATATAACAGTAACAGGATGTTAGTAAAGCCAGAGAGATTTTTGAAAAAGAGTTTACAAGGATTACTTTCTGAACGTAAGTAGACACAATTTCCTGCCAGCAGACCAGTTCAGCTGAGTAGCTTGCTAACATTCCTGTTTCCAGCCAACAGCGTTACCCTTGATGCTTCACACTTCAGTCTTTTTCTCCACACAAAAAGAGATATTGCTGAACTGATAATAGTAGACTCCTGTGCTATTCCTTGGCCAGTTGCCTTACTCCTTCTACTCTAACTTCCTTGGAAAACATAGGCATCAGTTCTGCAAGCTTTGGAACTGCAATTGTTACTCCTTGTTGTAAACACACAACCAGCATTTTAGTCCTAGCTGTAAAAGGGACACTATTGTAGCCCACTAACTATTGCTTATGTAATTTTCAAATACAATAAATACCCCAAGTTTTTTCAACCTCACATTTTCAAAAGTCTGAAGAACATATACTGATGATACATCTACATACAAACCTTCCCATAACTACAGATAAATTCTTAGGCATCCATTTTGGAATAAAAATGTTCTACAGACTTGCTGGGTCCAAGGTTTTATCTAGAGAATACATTATCCCACTACTAAGTAATGTTAAGATCTGTACTGATATGCTAATCACTGTATGAACAGCATATGTGTATGTAGTATGTCAAACTCGCATATAAAGACTTATTAAGATGGCCCAGATATTGGCTTCTTATCAAACAACCTAAAATACTAATATCTAGTGCACAGTTTAGTTTAGGCAGTTCAAGTTATTCTCACTCTCTCTGCTCAGCAGCTAAAACAAAAGTGTGTCTGTAAAACACCAGGAAACAGAACTTATCTTTGACAAGTGCTACTTGGTCTGGTGCACAAGAACTTAACCCCAAGAAGAGAAGGAAAGAAAGTTACCTTCACGTGATTCATATCTTTAAAATTTTACAGTGCTTTAATTGTATAAACCACAAGCTCCTGGTAAAGCAATCAGTTTTCTTGCTATTGCAACATCTCTAAATCTTAATTAACAGTCTTAGATATAGAGGAATCAAACTCTCTTTTCAGAAAATATTCATTTCCTGTTCATTAGCAGAGCCCCTCCCCATCTCAAGCCCGCATTTTAGAGATCTTTCAGTTACATCTGATAAGGTGCTTTAATATTATTTTGTGTTCAACTCATTTTCCAGTTCCATTAATTTTCTAGAAGCTTTTACTTTATTGGATACATCTTGACCCTGTGAAAAAAGTCGCTGGCGTTCCCTGAACGTCAGATTTTCTGGTGCTCCAGGTAAATCTGCATCTTGACTGGAAAAAGAAAGAAAGACATGTTATAATTATAGCTCAAAATAACCTTAAATATAAAAATTCTTAATCACAAATACATTAACTTGACAGTGGCAAGTGGTGGTCTTGACAGTGGCAAAATACTGTAATTGTATTAGTATTCTGCAGGGTTTACTGGGGGGCACAAATACTAATTTGTGCCCCAATTTGCCCTTAATTCTTCCAGGGAGCTATCATTTAGTAAATCATAAGAGAAAGCTCATGACTACAACATATAAACCTGAAGGAAATCACTTGCCAATTTTAAAACAAAATTGCCGGTGTAACTAAGGTGCAGTCAGCATTAGCACAGCACTGCTGTTATGGCTAAATTGCCATGGCTTTCTATGGTAGTTTGTGTCTATGAAAAAAAAAAAAAAACAACAAAAAAACAACAAACCCCACTCTAATATAAAGCTTTTAAGTACCGGTGAAAAAAAAAAAACAGTGTGCTTGCTGTAGGAGTTGCAACACCTCTTCATTCTATTCTATACTGGCAAGGCTTCAAATGTGATAATGGCCTAACCTCTTTCACTTGCCTCCATTATTGAAACTATCTACTTTTTTTTTTTTTTTTTTTGTAAAAAGTGTCTCTGGCCATGACAATGACCATCTCAAATTACTCTTATCAGTCTCCTCTAAGCAGAGGTAACAATATATCTAAGATTGACTCTCATAATACAGTTTTGATATTTATTTGAATTCCATCATTAGAGAAGTTTCACTTTTAGCTCCAAGAAGTATCTGCTCTGCACATGCCACTGAAACATTAACTGCATATTAACAAGCATACATGAACTGGGCTACCAGCTCCTACAGAATCCTAGGCAAAGCCCAGCTGCATGTTTAACACTACACGGGAAAGCCTGCCACTCACGTACAAAATATAACCCATACTACTTAAGCTTACTGCAAATTTGGTAAGAAGTTCGTGCGATGTACTGTTCAGATTTAATAAATACACCTAAAAGATGTTCATTTGTAATGATCACTCAGTACAATCACAGCAGCCAAGACTCCTGTAGAACTTTCTTTGTATCCTGAGGCAGCCCAAGACACTCCAACCCACTGCAGGACTAATAAGTAGCCCACAGAGATAAGGCAAGAGCAAAAAATCAGCCACTGAAGAAGTTAGTCAAAGCACATGAATAAAAGTTAACATTTAATGGACCTCCTGCATGTCACCTTTTAGATCTTTTGTCTCTTGGATCCCGATAAATTTCTTGGGCGCCAACAGTTGCTCCTGTAGATCCAGTGTATGAATTTATTCCTTATGCAAAAGAAAAAAAATGACAGTTGAAGAAGAGCAGCTACAACACAACAATTTTACATCTTATTTCTTCTATAAGGTGCAGTGCTTTTTTCAAGAAATAACTTCAAATGGAGTCAGAAATAATCTGGAGGGTCATCTGATCTGTACAACATTTAAAGTCAATACTGGAATAAATTCTATTCCTCCTCCTCAAAAAAAGTAATTTCTTATTCCTAATTTTATTTATCAAGTCAGAACACATTTTATTTAAACTATTCAACTCATATCAAGTCATGGTATTTATCTTATTATGTCTCATTGTTAAACATTAAAGCTCATTTTCAGGAGATTGAAGGAAAGAGTTCCATACTCACTTGACTATCCTGCAACAAGTTCTACAGGGAAATAAATTAGCTGCAGCTGCTGTATTTGTGAGACAAAAAAGTCTCATAAAATAAAAAGTCTAAAATTAGTGAATATCATCTTTGCAATTCAGAAGAGCCAAAACTTTTGTCTTTGTTTAGCCAGATTACCTAAGGTATTACCACCCAGAAAATGCTCCTCTCCTTTTTTTTTTTTTTTTTTTTTTTTTTGAAGTCAGTATTTTACAGCACTGCACCTTTAGTTTAAATTAATACAAGATACACACAGTTTTACACAATATATTAATCCTTTCTAAAGGTCACAAGACAAAACCTTTCCAATCAAAAGTAATAATTTAATCAGCATTTAAGGCTGCATTCTCTTAACTCTCAGGAAAAAAGAACTGTCAGAGCACAATACTCAGGTGTGTCTTCAGGCAGTTCTGGTATCAATATTGCACACGTTATGTCTTGTGAACCTTCTTCTGTACAGAGCAGAATGGTTGCTTCTTCCACTGGTGTGTATAACATCTCACAAATATTCCATAATGGAAAAGAGGTAATATGATAAAGGAACGCAAACAAATTTAGCTGATGGGATGCAGATTCAATTTTTTCATCAGAAAGTTGTTGTGGATCAAGTCATACTAGGTAGCCCAGAAATACAAAGATTTTCTTTCCTTTCAGGCTTTAATCTCATATGCTTACAATAACCATCCCCACTTTGAAAGATCTGGGTCCTCACATTGTGATTCACACTGCCAACTACTTTAAAGATGGTAGCTTTGATTGAGGCGTTGACTTTTTTGCGTGGGGAGAGAGGGAGGGTTCTTGGCAGACTCAATAGTTTTAAATTCATCTTAGGCAACCCAGTGGAAGAAGGTACGAGAGCAAAGTTTGCTGAAGCATGGTTTACTAGAGTTAACATTCAGAACAGAAGAGAGCTGCAAAGGACAGTCATGTAACAGAGCCAGCAAGATGGAAGATGGCAAACTGCACAGTGGATTCTGCATTTTGTGCAAACGGCTTTGTACGTTACGCAGGCAGTCTTCAGAGAAGCTTGAGCAATCAGGTGAAGTTAACCTGTTCTCATGGCTATTTTAAAAATTATGAAATAAGAGGATTCAGAATTAGTTGTATGGTTTATGGATTAGGTTATTAAAGGTGAAGCATCATACTACAATATTCCTTAATTGAAACCAAAAACCTAAACAAATCTTGGTAGATTGTCCTCCTGATTGTTTTCCAGGAAAAACAAACACACATACACAAGAAAAATGCAACTGAACACTTCACTTTCTTGAGATTCATTTCTCCATTAAAAAAAAAAGCCAACAAAAAACAGGGTTGGAAAATGCAGTTAAAGATGAAATGATATACTGGATTGCGGATGATGGGAGGGGTAAGAGTAGTGATGCCAAGTAGTGATTGATGGTTCTAGAGTTACTTAATTTATTACATGTACAGCCTGTGAAGTGCCAAGTAAGGAAGGGAAGATAGGGTCTTTGGAAGCCTATGTGCTGTGGTGGAAGGCATGTTTTATGCTCAATTCTAATTTATTTCAAGTAACAATTTCCAGAAAAAGAAAGTATTTTGAAAGAACAAAAATTCAGTATGGACATGTTAGAAGCTTGATCCAGCTTATTCCTAAAAGCAAGCTAATAATACAGGCAGTTATAATATTTGAAGGATTTCTTTTCCTGTAAATTTATTGTCTTCAATTTTACTTTAATTCATTAACTCTTTGCAATATAAGGAGCTCAATGCAAGAACAAAACCAAGATTTGAAATCAATGCTTGGTGATTTGACAGTGAAAGAGATATCTATTGTACAGATATGGTGCTTTCTCAAGGTTACACATTTCATACAGATGCCACTTGTAGGCACGTGTAAGTCAATTCCTTGTAGGCTTTGGCTGCTCTCCTGTAACGGTACCATATATTGGTTGCTGTACCACGCACACTGTCTGTCCATACTCCAGTCTCATGACAACAAACTGAAAAAAAATCAAAACTCCCATCACCTTCCTTGGAGGAACTTGGAAACAGTGACAAAGCAAGACAGGAGTGGCAGATGGGCTTGCAGAATCCACAGTGACTGTAACATCAAGAGATCTCACAGGGAATGCTAGGGTAAATAAAACATTTTTTTCTTTAAGTGAGCATCGGCATGGATGCCTTTTATGCAACATGCGTGGTGTATAGACCCAAAACAGTGAAACTGCTAAACATCAAACATGTCAGTTAGACAGTAATTGTAACTGGGCACAAAAACATATAGTGCTGTGCAGAGCTCCCTGGCACTGGAAACAGTCTAGCTGTAGTAGGAGCCAACTTTGCCCTGCAAAGAAAAAGATGCCTTGCTGGAAAACAGTGACTTGAGCCTTAAGTGAAAATGATGCAGACAGGTAACTCACAGTAACACATACCTGTATGGTCTCACACACAGGATCCTAAGTCATACTCATGTACTACTGTAACTATTATAAGTGTTTCAGATAAATGGAAACTGTTCTGAAGCTCCTATGCTCTCTATGACCAGAACCTAACACCTATGATTAAAGAAAAACAGTTTCTCATAATTCATTATGTGGCCAAAAAAAGTGAATGGGGATGTACCATGGTGTAGGCTGCCTGATTTCTCATGGGATTCAAATCCAGTACATAACCTAGTCATTCAGCCAGAAGCTAGCATGAACATTTTTCTCTTGCTCTCCTGGGTGATTATCCTCTGCATTTTAGAAGGATAATTTGATCAGGGTGAATTGGCTGTCAAACATTTACTGAATTCTGTTGTACTGACACAAGTAAGAAGGGAAAACTATGAGAATATTATGACCAACCTTCTTGTCAGAAGAATATAGAACAAAACAGATGTAGGGCTGGCAGATGCTGCTATTTGAAAGTCTTATGAGCTGCCCATTTACTTGGGGTGGAATTCAAACAAATACTTGAAGAGTAAAACATGAAAGACTTCTATATGGCCATGATATACCAAGTTAGCTGAGAACTTTGGACTGAATTTTGGGTTTGTGCATACAGCTGAACTAGTACTGCAGGTTAAATATATGGTGCTGAAGTTGCTAGTAACTGCATCTCTATGGATGCCCACTTGGAGTTACCAAGGAAAGAAGAGATGACTAGGCAAAGAAGTGTAGGAGTGTAAAGGGAATGATCAAGACAAAAAAAACACTACGATAGAATTTTTGCTCTCCTTTTCAAGAAAATCAGACTGAATGAAGCAGAAGTACAGAAACTGTACCTGATACCACACGCCTCTTGGTGCTGGTGTATTTAGAAATACGTCTATAAAGGTCATTTTTAAAGCCATTTGCACACACTATTGAAATTAGAAGAAGCCCCAGTACCAAACAGGAAAGCAGAAGCTCCCTTCATGAACCCATTAGGAAAGGCTTCCTCTCTTCAAGAGAGATGCGCTTCTGCAAGTCCTAAGTAACCAGTAGTCAGTTGTACAAAACAAATCACTGAAAGATACAGAGTGAAAGCCAAGACCAACAGTACTTTGGATTGGTTGAGTAACAGTTAAAAATCATTTCTAATTCACTGTGTAAAAGATGAATTTTTGATTTGAAAGAGGTTGGGTAAGGAACAAGGAAATTTGAGAGATCAAAACAATTACAAAAATGGATTATTATCAGGATTTAAGTTAGATCACCATAGTGAAAATACAGTGATTGAGTGGAAAAAAAATCACAGAGTAAGTGATTATATTTACATCACCAGAGCAGAGAACTTCAAGGTAGTTCAAGATTGTAGTGAAGATTTTGATTTCACGATCTCTACCTTTAGAGCTGCTTGCATGGATGAAACTCGGTTTGTTTGGTGGGGGCGGGGGCTGGCTTTTTTTGGCAGCAGTACTGTTGGCATTGACTGGAGATGGCTGGAATGAGTTGGAAAGAAAGAGGCCATCTGAAACTGGGCGAGGCTGGCGGGAGGGCTGCTGTGGCTTAAGGGTGGCAGGAGGAAAGTCACCATAAGATTTTCTTGTGCTGGAGTACTTATCCTGACCTGCTAGATTGGAATCCTCCTCCTCCTCATCATCATTGTATGCAACAAACTTGGCAGTATAAATCGTGTCAGGGGAGAGAACCTGCGTTTTGAGGTAAGAGGTGTTTCGCTGAGGTGGGGGAGGAGGAGCGTTAGATGAAGGGGTTGGGGATGGGAGTTCATATTCCCGTGGAAGCGGAGGTCTGTACAGACCAGGCTCGTCAGGTTCCAGCAATCTTCGCTCCGCTTCATCGTGTTGCCTGCGCCTTTCAGCCTCGAGGCGGTTGTAATACTCCTCTTCCTGCCGCCTCTGCAAGCCCAGAGCAAACAAAAACACAGCGGTCAGACAGACAGGCACTTCGGACCAAACGACAGTTAAGTTTTCCAACACAGAGTTGCCACTATTTTTTTTCTCCTTTTCTGGCAATGAGCATCTATACCAAGTCATGCAAAGAAAATATATTACTATTAAAAGAAAAAAAAGAAAAAAACAGTTGTCCTATAAAACAGCTTTTCTGCTATTTCTGGAATTACCACTGCCTGTGGTAACTAAAGTAACTGCCTATGTGAACTAAGGGCATTTCCAGCACTTATTACTATTTCAAATAGTGCTAGAAATAATTAATTTGTTTCAAGTTACATCCTCCTTTATAGGATAAGGATTTTTCTAAAGCTGTAAAGAATCTTTAGGAGAGGAAATAACTCAGATTATAAAGTTCCTTTTTAAGATGGTAGTTAATTTTGCTGCATGCTTATGCAATATAAGTTAATCAAGGGCGGCTTGTAAGAGATGACTCCTTAAAAATAAATAAATAAAAAGAGATAATGCCAAAAATGAAAACATATTTGACTGCACAGTGAGTTAGTTATCTGCTATAATTACTGCCTTCCTTTCTAAAATGCAAGTTCCCTTTTTTCTTAAAGTCCAAATGTAAAGACAATATGGAATATTTTTCTCAACTCCACAATAATTCAAATTTTCATACCCCAACCTGTGTGCAAATGTGTGCAAACCAAGTGTGTAAAAACAAAAACATATTTAAAAAATGAAAAAAAAAAGTTTAAGTGCCATCTCAGCCATTATGAAACATAATATTCATACTAAACACTGAATAAAGTCAGGAGATACAGTTGATTTCTGCCACACCTTTCAGAAAAGACTGAATACAAACATCTCACTGCAATAAAAGCTACTACTGGAATTTCTATTGTATTATTTGTGAAATACCAGTGAGCTCCAACAACCACATTTTTTTTTAATCTTTTTTTTTCCCCTTGGATAAAATGAAACCTTGGGCCATGAATGTTTTCACTAGGCTAATGTATTCAAGTCCTTCTGACTCAAAATTGAGCTGTTTCTGGCCAGACTAAACAGGAGAGGCCTATACGGAACTCCTGCTGCACTCAGAAGACCATAACCTTTTCTTCAGCCTCTCTTCTGGTTCGCTCCTCCTCTTGCTGTCGTCGCTCTTCTTCCTGCCTGGCCCTGTCTTCTGCTTCTCGTTTGCGCATTTCTTCCAACTGTTGCTGCCGTCTGCGTTCTTCATCCTGTAACTAACAGAGACACATCTTTAATTTTTCATTAAATTATCACTCATGCTGCTAAGATGCAAATAATCGAGTTACATTTTTGATGCATCTAAAAATAACAAAATCAGTAAAAAAAAAAAAAGTATGCTACAGATGACTCAGTGAAGTTTTCAGCTGCTGAAAATATACTTTGTTAGGTTGTTTTTCTGTGAGAGGAAAAGCAGAACATAATTACGTACGTAACAGCAAAAAATCACAGCGGGAGAAATGCACAGCAGTCACATAGGAACCTCTAGCAGAAGACTGAGTTGACTCGTATCCCAGACTGCTTCACTAACCAGAGTCTCCTAAGTACAGTAAAGTGAAATGAAATAGTTGGAACCAATGGTCCACAGCTCCATTAGCCAATTGGTTTTGCATTTTGGATTAGTATTTAAGCACCGGAAAATCATGACTCATTAGTCAAAGGGTCAATCCATTTAAAGTAACAGGCTCACTCAGCAAGTCTGCAAATGGTCTCAAGAGATAAATAAAGTCTCCCACTGTATCGGCCACAGATGTGTTTTGAAAAGAGCAGACAGCAAGGCAACTAAATTTTAGATTATTTAGATTTAAGAGCTCCTATGAAAACTAATGTCCAGCTTAATGCTATTTTTTCCCTCTACATATGATGAGCACTGCACTGGTTGGAAAAATGAGCAGTAACCCACATCTGTCTTTGTGTTATTCTCCAAAGCTGGCAAAGCCTGGGATGGGTAGTGCATTCAGTAGTAACTGGACTACATGTGAAGCTGCTTCTTACTACTACATATGTTCTAAAGGGTTGGGTTTTTTTTTTTTTTTCTTTTCCCCCCCACCTCTCTCTCTCCACAGGACCTTTCTTAAGAAATAGCAGTATTTAGTATACCTGATAGTGAAGTATAACATCAGCTATACTAAATACTGCTACTTCTTTACTTCTTTTTTACAGTATGGTTTCCTTCATAGAAAAAGGCCTTTAAGACACATGAAGCAATATTGATAAGAGCAGAAAATTAATTTTATAGAAAGAAATATTAGAAATAAAGACATTTTATGGAAGAAATATATAGTCTCTTGGATGACAACCTTCATGTAAGTGTGTCCCTTCCTCTCCCTCTCTGCTATTAAAAAATGGCAGATGTGCTTTGAAGCTTATTAATGGTATATAAGATACTGGTCAAAGGTTTTGTCAATTTTGCTTCTGGTTTAAAAATATATATATATTTATTTATTATTTGACTGATTTTCTGATAATTATTTCTCCTGCAATTTTTAGGTAGTATTTTTTTGCAGGTATCTTTGGACAGATAATTTTGAAGATGTTTGCCTTTTACATCTGTAAATGGAGAATTTTTATACAGAATAATTAGAGAGAAAAAAAATGATTTAAGGTATTGTTAACAATCACCATTTTTCATCAGGAAAAAAAATATGTAGTTATCTTGATTTGGGATGAAACTTGGCAAATCTAGGCTAGAGGATGCTGCCTCTGAGCTTTAGTCACAGATGACTCCCTCTTATCCAGGGCAGAAAATTTTGCAATTCCTAGCTGAAAACTACACAAAGATAAAGATCACACTTAGTATAGCCCATACAGCAAGGAACAATCAAACTGACTACTTGGATTAACATATTTTCTGGTCTTTCTTGGTTATTAAAAAGACCGCAGTTTAACACAGGAGATAATATTCTTATCGCAAGAAAAGACAGCTACTAATTCAAGAAAATTCATAGAAAAGAAAAAAAAAAAAAAAAGGCCAACAAAAAGGCACAAGTTGCATACTGAGAAATACAGTAAAACACTTTGACTTTGCCCCAGTCATCTTTAGAGAAAAACCCAGTAATTATCCCAGTAGTTCACTGCATAAATATCTTTTCCCTAAGTAGTAAACTCTCCTACTTCAACACAGCTAAACAGAAACAAACAGGGCAAAAAAGACAGAATTGATTTAACTAAAGAGGAAGGAGGATCAACTATCTCAAATAAATAAAGGAGGGAAAACGGGGCAGTGCACCCCTGTGGAGACATCCCACATCAGATGTCAATCACAGCAATTTTGGAAGAAAATTATATCTACATCAGAGGCTATTCTAAACATAATTCATAGGGAAAGGACACAAATTAGATATAAGGCACAAGTATGAACGGAGTAACTATTACAGAGTGATGCTTCACTTCTTTATAACTAGTTAGCTGGTTTCTGCTTTGCAGCATTTACAGACCAAGACATAGAGCGCCGGGATGGCGAGTCTTGCTGTATTGTAGCAACTTGTATTTGTGATCACATACAGTGGGATGACACTTTTCAGTATTCAGAGCTTCCAAATTTTCAAGACACTAAGGAAAATAAGCTCCATTTTCTAGTAAAAGGGCTCTCTGATAACATCCCCAATTTGAATCTTCGACCTCAGTATTTTGGCCTCAGTATCCATCCCAATTAGATTCTCTCTAGTTTAAAAGCCACATCATGTATGATTTACTGTTCCTCCAGAATTTACTTCAAAAATGTATGCCTCCAGGCACTGCTTACAATGGTTTCAAAAAGTTCCAAAAAACCTTTCAATTTATATCTATTTATTTATGGCAACTAAAGCTGGGTTAGATCTGTTAATGGCCCATGAAATTAAGAGACAAACACTAGGGAAACTGACAATTTATGGATTATCTTTTCATCAGTGTTCACCAGCCTTCTAATAAGGACAACAGCTGTCAACAAGGCTCATATCAGATGTTCAAAAAATAAACATTGAGCATTCTAAAAGGCCTATCTTTTTTTTTAACCTAGAAACAAGAAAGCAATTTCCTGGATACACAGTGACATAGGATAGATTTGCCCGAAGTCAGGCAAATACTTCCAAAACCATGAAATCAGGGCAGGGGTGGCGGGGGGGAGAAAAAAAAGGGTTCTTGGTTTTGCTGGATTTTATCATTCACATCATATACTTCAGAATTAAAATGTTTCCTTTTTTTAATGCTAATTTTGATGATTTTAGGAGCATAATAAAACCTGTCCTGACTCATGTCACGGTTGATGCAATGCAGGTATTGCCCCCAGCACAGGGGCTGGCTGCTATTGGCAGCCGGTTCCTCTAGCACTTCCCAGACATGACTGTACCAGAGATGTTGGCTGGGGCATCTGTGTCTAATCCTGTCACTACTGGCTTATGGGTGCCATGTCTATGAATTTGCCTAATCCATTTTACAGCATCTGACACTGTCTGCTTCACCACTGCCTGCAGCATAAGGACCAGAGCTCAGAGGCTGCCCTGTGTATGCGTTTTAAAAGTTGTTATTTAAAAAGCAGGGTCAAATGGCCAAGTTCATACTTTGAATAGTCAAGCTAATCACTTCTCAGATGTAAAATTCATTATACTAACAGGACATACACGCATAACCCTTCTTTCAAACTCAGTACACTAATCATACAGAACATACTCTGAAGGTGCTATGTTATTTCTTTAAAAGACTACAGAACTATCTTTTTTCCAAGCACCTATTTCCAATAATAGCAATAAAATACAGGATTAGCCAGAATCAGCTTAGCCAAGTACTGCCAGCCAGCAGCCAGTTACTGCTCCAACTTGAAAATCTGTCATGATTTAACGAAAGAAAATGGCATTAACTAAATGAAACTGAAATTTAGAAAACTAAAGTCTAGTAAGTTAATCATTGCATGTTTATGAGATCTACTTGAAAATATTAATTCAGAGTTGATAGTTTTTATTTTGATGAGAAATTCTTAAAACCTGTTAACTATGGGGTGTCAGTGTGTGCTGAAATAGCATTGAAAGCCAGGGCAGGACAAGAACCTGACTCAAATACCCTTTATTATTAGGCTGTCAGGACAATTTTGCTTTAAGTCAGAAATAAATGGTGAAGCTAGAGCTTTCCTGAAGCCTCAGGATGGGAAGCAGAAGAAATCTTACCTCACAGTTTGTGCATTCCAACTGATTATAAGATTTTATAAACAAAATTACACAAAATATCAAGTAGTTTTATATTAGACCACGGCTACAAGAAACATCAAGCCTGCAAGCAGCAAACAACATCTAAAAGGACAGAAGCACAGGGAAAGGAGTCACCACGTCTGGAAACATTAAAAGGCATGCTTACATTTAGCTTATTGCATATGGTATCAAAATGTTTTTTGAGGAACTGAAGATGGCAAAATCATCCAAAGGACATAAGATGGTTACTAATAAAATCAGAAAATGAAATGGGAAAGCGATATTGAAGAGAAAGAAACAAACATACCAAATCTAGAACAGATATTGCTGGCACAGCAGTCTGCTGCAGGTAGTAAGAAAAGGGAAAAAAAGAAAGATGCACAGTGAAAATAAAGATAGGTTAGACTTGTGCTTTGCCAAAAGCATTTTAATTGTTAAGTCAGCAGCTTTAAAAAGAGAAACTGAATTTGACATATTCCTGAAATACAGAAATGAAAGCAGCTAAAATAACCTAAAATATTTATCAGTATTAGTTTAACTCAAAAAACAAGTTCTCTCTAGAGATATTTATTGCATCTCTAGCAATACAGAGAGCAAAACATAACAAATGCAAACATAACTTTAGCTCTAGGTGACTTTTATTTTAAGTTTCAGTAGGAAACTACAAGTTTCTTATACTTTTTGCTAATGCAATACAATTGGCTATTTTATTTTAAGCCTTATTACAATGAGATATTAAAGACACTGAGTGAAAATGGCAGTTTGATATGAATGTTTATGCCCACAGGTAACTAAAAGTATGTTAAAAATTACACACTAGCAATAGTGGGCTTTAACACAAGGAGTTTGCCAACAGTAAGTTTAGCTTTTCCTTTCTTCAGTTTCCAAGTGTAGGGCATCTATTGTTTCAAAGACTAATAAGGTTAGCCACGAGAAAAAAGGAAAGCAAAGCAGGCTGCAGTGCGTATGAAAAGAATAAGCTTAGGAAATCAAGCTGCCAAAGCAATCCTGAGCTCAACTACTACTTTAGCCAACAGCAATTCCTGAATGTCAGAATAAACATGTACAAACAGCTCTTTGCAAGTAGAAATAGTTTATCGCAGAATTAAGCCATCTCTTAAACTAACAGAAGACACTTAGCAAATTACAGAACAATTTAAGCCTGTCAAAGCAGACCTATTGGACTGTAACTTTGGTAGCAGTGCTATTGTTTACAAAAATGTCTTTTCCTATAAAAACTGATTTCTAAAAACAATAGTTACTAGGTTCTGAGAAACAACAACAACCAATAGAAAGGTAAAAACTTCATTATAACATAGTTGTATTATCTTATTTCACGTGGCAGCTATACACAGCTTTCACAGCAGTGAAGCTAAGGGAGCAGACCTTGTTACATACTGGCTACCCTGAACAAAAGCCAGGTTGTGTGTGAGCCAGAGCCCCCGGACAGGGCGCTTTAGTTGCTGGGAGTCCCATCAACACCCCAACCAGACAGTCCATTCTATGAAGACTTCCACTCGTGACTGCTACAGCCACCAGCCTGACCAAGAGGTAGCGGTAACAGCCGCCTCCTACCCGAGCCTCTATCTGGGGAAGACCATCAAGGTGGAACCTCATTGCCCTTCACTGTTCCCTGGAAATAGCACGGCATATGGTGTCTGTCTCTGGGTCCAAGTAAAGCTAGCAAGACCGTTAATAGTTCTTAGAATTAAATATATTTAAGAAAAATCACACACTATCTTGTTCCCACTCTCCCACGCTCATAGTTCAAAGTATTTCTGCTTCCCTTTCTGCAAGTGAATTACATGCAACATCTATCTTCTAATCCTGCTCCAGCTACCTGGCTAAATCCATTTGTGAAAAAGATTTCCTCCCCTCCTGCTCCCAGCAGGAGAAGAACCAGAAAAGTAAGTTCTGCTCCCAGCTAGATTCTGTGGCAGGCAGCTACGGGTAGCTCTGTAACACACCACCTAACAGATGAAGCCAGTGTAAGCTAGTGAGGGTTTCTTCCACAGCTTTTAAATTAAAGCCACTAATGCAACTCCATCCTCTTTTGCCCTGAGAGGACATCAAAGCACTGAGAGAAATCCAGAGAACCCACTGAGATACACATTGACTTTTGTCTAGAAAGGATTACCCCCTTTTACCCTTGCTCTTCTTTCTGCTTCCAGGCGTTGCATGATGAGCATAGTATCCACATCATCATCCTCCTCTTCATCATCATCCTCATCCTTTTGCTTTGACTCTTGAAGTCGCTTTTGAAATTGCCACTCAAGCATGAGTTTGCGCAGACGGTCATTTTCTTCTGCTGTACGATCAGGCTTGTTCTGGAGTTCCTGAATCTCTTTACTCAGCATGTCCACAATGTGCATTTGTTGCTGCTTCTCCAGTTTCTCCTTAGCATCCCGCTTCCAGGGATCTGGAGAGAGGCTGTCACTGGAGGACAGCTCTTCCTTGCTGATAGTAAAGTATTGCAGATCTCTCCGCTCTATAGTCCGAGGCTGCTGTTGGGGCTGCAGCTCTCGAATGACTGTTTCTTGAGACCTCGGCAAAGTTGAAGTTTTTTCTGATTTCACTTGCTGAAGAGAGACTGGAGGAACCACAGGCTGAGCAGGAATTAGCGGCTGAGAACGCATTTGGCCCAGTTTTCTCTCCTGCTCACGGCGTTTCCTTTCTCGCTCTTCCTCCAAACGTGCCTTTTCCTTTTCATACCACCTCTGATGCTCTTCTCTTTTTTTACGCTCAGCAGCAGCAACTTGGGAAGATGCTTGTGTTCCTATCTGATTTGGAGGAGGCGGGGGAGGCAGAGGCATATCCATCTGCAGTTCATCAAAATCTGCGGCATAATGCACCGGGGGAGGTGGTGGTGGAGGAGGAAGATCTGTTCGGATGGGCTGGGAGATGGCCACTGGAGTTGGCTGGCTGGCAGCTGGAGTTTTCCAACGGCCAGGGCCACTTTTAGCTAAACAAGAACCGGGGGAAACCGGTTTGGATGAATGGTTCAGATGCTCTTGGCTGGATGTGCTGGAATCCACAGATGAATTCATCCATGGCTCACTGTCTGACTTCCGATCCATATACTCCACATCCTTCCTTATAACCACTTCCAAACGATTCCTTTCTGGCTGGAAAGCTTTATCTCGAAGTTCTTCCTGGGATCGAGCCACACGCTGGAAAAAATAAAATAAGGTATGTATTCCATAGTCCATCTACATTAAAACATAACCAAAATACTAAAGATTAAATGGCTCAAAAACTCTCATTACCAAAGGTAATTACTTCTAGTGAAGTTCAGCATTTCCATACCCAGTAAGTTTCCCAAAAGCAACAGTGAAACATTCTTCCCTGTCCTTTAACTCTTTCACGTGATGGAAGAGGGTGCAACCTCTGGCATGCCCGCAAGGCTGCACCGAGTGGAAGGGCGAACACAGAACAGAGCTCCAGCCAAAGCCCTTCCCAGCTCTCACAATTTCTCAGGACTGTCCCTCACACCCCTTCCCCCCGGTAGGTGCACGAGAGGCCAGCGGCCCACGGCAGCAGGTCAAGCAGAGTAGCTTTGCCATTCAGGCTTCTCCTGGCTTAACCAACATCCGGCCTGTTAGGGAGACAAACAGAGCGGCTGCTGCTGAGGAAAAGCCAAGGGAGTCTGCCCATCCACCTCCGCGAAAAATGGTGGTGACCTCAGCTTCTCATTACTGCAGAAGTCATTCATGGGTATGGAAACTGGACAGTCATATCTAAATTCTATCTGCTTTTTGGGTATAGATTTACTAGGTTATGCTTTTGTCACATTTTTTTATGCACCAAATGCCAAGTCCTTTTGAATACAAGTTTGTGGGTCTCACTTCACTGTATAACCTCCTAAAAAGGAACACTGCGTCGTACATCAGACTGTCAAATCTGTTAATGATTTTCTTGAAGCAAATATTCCTGCTTTAAATGTTAAAAAAAACCCAAGCACTGAACACAGAATGTACCAATTATCAAAAAATGAGAGAAGACTAACAAAGCAAACTCTTTTTCTTTTTCCTCCATCAATGACCTGAACTGCGACCTTAACAGAATGCCTTCTTTGAGATGAATAAGTGTATTTTTTATGCTCTATTAGTCCAGCAGATCTGAACACAAAACTATTTGTGCTAGATTTGTTGTAAAGATGCACCTAGCCAAACAGTTTACTAATGACTTGTGTTCAGAGGAGAAAACAGGCATTTCAAGTTCCCCAGCAGTTTCCTGTAGCTTTTTACAAGCACAGTGCTCACTGCTAAGATTAAAGACTTCTTTTTCCTTGAGTCTATTTTGCTGTAATTTTGATTCTAAAAGAACCATTGTATAGTGAAGAAAACAACAACGTACACTTTCAAAGCTGCAGGGAACTAAAGAACCTAACATTTGCTTTACGAAAATACTTCTTCACTGAATCAAGTCTTAAGTTCAAATTCTGCATCCATTAGCAACATGGTGAGATAAAGTCCATTTGTTAAGTTTTAGCCACCTAATTTAGGCTACTCATCTAAACTTGCCTTAGGGAGGGGAGAGCTGAATCCCCATTCTAGGACACATGAGTCAAAACATTCCCTGGAGATACCAACCTCTCTCCATCACCTACAAAGAAAGCCTAGACATGAATTAGGCAGTTAAAAATCTGTCAAGATGGAGCCTTATGAAATGCTCAGCACAGAAATTCAGTAAAATATTCCCATAGCTACATGCCAATCATTTCACTTCCCAAGCTCTTTGCCCTGTTGGGGTTAAACACTTAAATACTTAATGGCTTAAATAATTAGGATTTGATATCTGTAATACAGCAATAACCTGAAAAACTTTTATCCAGCTGTCTTTGTAGTACATGCCTAAGTATTCAGCAACTGATCCAACCGACCCCTTACACTGCTTTCATGACATAATAACGTAGATGAAGCTACTTCCCAAATGCAAAACATACTGAAACAGATGCAATGCATGGCTTTCATCAGAAACTAAGGAAAGGAAGTTAAAAAAAAATGCTTTCACTCTATATCCTTAAGTGATAAGGCTATCTCTGGTGGATTAGATGAAAAGATGCAAGAAAGTGAGGGGATTTAGTAGACCAAGATTTAATTTTCTGTACAGCTTTGAGTAAAGTCCTCATTTACAAAGAGTGAACAAGATTATTTTTTGAATTTACAAAAGGTACTGCAAGTATAAATTAATTTCAGATCAAGAAGCACCTATGCTTTAATAATGATGTAGTATCAGTATAACTGGAAAAAAAGATGCAACTTGAAGTTTCTTAACTGTGGGAAGCAAATGCGTCTTGATGAAGACCTTGGATAGGTCTTAAAATAGTATCTTATTTTTTAAGACTTCGTCTTGTCATATAAACAAGAAACCCTGCAGGCAAAGAAGTTTTTCTGCATAGGCCTTCCTGGAAGAGTAGACGAGTTGGTTTGCTTTTCAGAAAGCCGCAAGACATTTTACAAGACAAATCCTGCTACCATCTATTTGCCATTTTATTGAGCAGTGGCGGATTAACATAGCCCAGACAACAGGTCTGCAGAGCTTGAAAATCCAAGTTCTATGAAAAAAACAGGAGTAGGCTTTCTGAATTCAAGCCAGTCTTGAAGCAAAGTAGAGCTGTGCACATGACACTAAGTCAGGAGTGAGAGCTCAACTGAAGTCTAGTCAGTTTCAGTATCCTCAGTCTGTGGCATGGTTTATTCTCGGAAACTCAAGAGATCATGGAAAGTGACTGTTCTGCTAAAACATCTCCAACAATTTGTACATGGAAGGGAAACACTTTTTTTTTTTTTTTTTTTAAAGTACTGTAAGAAATTATTTCTAACCTGCATTGTAGTATTGATTGAATGATTACTCTCTGCCTGGACCTGAGGTTTCTCTTCATAATTTGGCCACTGATTCTGAGTTGGACCCATTCGATCTTGGGACTTTGAGGCTGGGAATGTGAAATATTCTCTAGTATAGGTCTGTGTTGGGATGGGATAAGCTTCAGGTCGTTGAGGCAGAGTCTGTTCCTGAAAAAGTTAAAAAGAACATAAGACGAAATTTACTAATCACACAGATCTGCACAGAATGCTATTCTATATTTCCTTTTTTTAATTCTAAACTTCCATTTTTGAAAATGCATTTTCTAAACATTTTGATTTGATTTTAAGAATATTATTTGTCTGGAATGTCAGATAGTGAAGTTTTCTAGTAAGAAATAAGTTGTAGTTATGATCCTGAAAGGAAGTAAGCAAATAAGCAATATTGTCCCACCCTGAAACAAACAAGCAAACAAACAAACAAAAAAACCCACTGCAACCAAAACCTCAAGAACACATTTTAATGAAACCATCCACAGCTGTCTCAATCTCTCAATACGGTAGATTAAGCAAAAACTCCAACCAGTCACTACCACCAGCATTACGTTCAAATTCTTAAATGAGATACAATTTTGACCCAAGCACACTTCTCCTATTGATAGCTAAGGCAAGTTTAATAGACAGTATTTTGCAAGCCATTTCTGACCTCTGTGCAAAGATTTCCAGTGGAGACTGAGGTTATTTTGGTGGTAGTTCCAGATGCGTAAGCATTCTTCCCTCCAGGGCTTGGAGGCTGATCTGTTGAAAAGTTACAGAAAGTATTTAAATGGTTGTTAATAATAATCCACCTAACAGTAAAATAATAGCATTCACAAAATATCTGTGTTTTTTCCTTTGAATAATTCTAACAAAAGGCTTTCTCCAAATGTTGCTACTAGGTCGGCATTTTAAACTTGATCCATCTTTTAAAGCAATCATTCCCCTTTGGAATTCAAAGGCCACAAAAAGTAGCAGAGGAAGCATCTACCCCTTAAAGAAGGATAATCTTACTTACTTGCTACATTGGGACTAGAGCGATGATCAGCTCTGTTCTTCATTAACCTGTCGTCCCCTGGCAGCTTCTTTGGTTCACTGTATTCCGTCCACGGCAGCTGAGGGCTCTCAGGTGACCCATTTTGAGCAGAGTTGTTATAGAGCTCAAAACCTTCACTCTTTGGTCGGGGTTTACCTGAGCCACGGCGGTCAGAAACTGTAATAGTTAGATAGGTATTTTCCCTCTTTGGCTTAGAAAACTACTATCTAACTCATTCTTTTTAAAGCAAGAGCTACGTTGCATTTGTAATTGAAAATGAGGTGCTAGTTAAACAAATATTAAATTTTAAAATCTTTGGTTCCTTGGATATATAGTTCCACTCTTGCACTGACTGTTTAGGATTCCTTTGACTTAAAAAAAGACACCAAATATCGGGGAAATCCAAACGCGCTTTATTGAAAAGTCTCCTGATTCTCAGAGACATATGGTGTCTGGGATGGTGTTGTAAACTGTGATAATAGGGATTTATTCTTTTAACCCATTACTTTCCATATTGTAGTACTATCTTATATTTAAAAATTTTCTCTGTTCACAGAAATATTTTATAATTAATACATTTGTCTTTTGGAGTTAGTTAATGGAATTATGATGATAAAACACACCACTGGAGAAACATCCAAGAACTTTTTATCAGCAGATACAGACACTTAAGACCACCCACTTTAATACTCTACATTTAAAAATCAATGGTAACCTATGTTCCCAGAGGAACATGTTTCTATTTATTTTTGTCTCAGCAATCACATTATTTTCTCTGGTTATAAGTCAGTCATCATCTTTTGAGAGAAGAGGAGAAGTTTTTTTTAGGAAAGGGATGAAAAAGCTAGTGAAGTTGTAATGCCCTCTGTACTTATTATATTTTTCTTATTAAATTTATTCTAAACAAGGATTGTATTACATTGTTTTTAATTATTATTTTCACTAATGATTAGTCTAATTTTAAAGTGTATTTAAAATCAGATAAAATATTCATATAAAAGGGAATGGTTTTTTTCCATGGAATTATATGACTCTTCTGATTTAACATTTTGGTAACACTTGGCAAGGTACTGTGAACTACTACATTTTCTGCATTCTAAGGCTCATAAAATTATTATTACTATAAATATTAGCATTTTTACCTCTTTGCATCATTGGGGATGGCTGATTAAGCAGAGTTGCCAGACCATGGTAAATTGCTCCTTGTTTTGCTACTTCTAGGGTAACTACAGAACCTGTTCTCGTCATAAGTTCTGCTGCCCTGCAATAAAAGTCAAAGAATAAAACAGAGTATTACTTAAGCACTGTATTACTTAGTGTCTTTATGATCTTTTTGTATGTCATGATTTCTGCTCTGTAGCACTCTGTAGCACTTGTTTGACAAGGCATTCCTTTTCTGAATAATCTTAAAACTTGGAAAAAAAATACAAAACAAACTCATTAAATAGATAACATTGCAGGCACATACTATTTTTAATATCTACAGGTAGAAGCCAGAAGCCAAAATATTTAAAATTAGAGCTATAAAAATTGTTTCAATACTCCAGCCCAAATGCATAGTACCATATACAGAAAATAATACACAGTCACACTTTTGTTGCTAAGTTTACATGCAGGCAGTTATAAAAAGCCAAGACCAAGTGTAACACACAAAAGTATCAATAAACTATAATTCTAGCATTCTGTGCAAAGATACCTCCTGAAACCACTCCGTACCTTTCCTGGGACAGGCCCACCAAGCTTCGACCATCCACACTGAGCAACTGATCTCCTGCTGCCAGACGACCATCCTAATTAAATAATCCAGAGGAAAAAAAGAATCATATACCTATGCTAAGGTGGTGTAAATAAAAACAAATACTCATGCATGATAGTAAACAGAAGATGTAAAAGTATTTCCAAAGGATCTTTCTACCTTTGAACTTCTGATGTTTAAAAATATTACTAACCACATCTGCAGCACCTCCTTTCACAACAGACTTGACATAAATTCCAAGTTTGTCTTGACCAGCGCCCTACAAAGAAAGAGGCATTAATTTTCAAACTTTAAATGTGGTCCTAAATAAGCAAGCATTTCACAAGTTTTAATTGGAATTTTACATGACTAGGTAAACCTCTACATTCCTATTACTTTTCTATTTCCCAAAAGTGAAAAAAGAACAATTAAACAGAAGAGATTTATGTTCATTTGAAGTCAAAAGAAAGTTTCAATATCATTTCTCCTGAACCTGAAAGATGCAAAATCTATTTAGTCTGAATGCAAACTTGAATAATCAAAAAAAAAAAAAAACCCTTATGTAATTAAAATGTATAATTTATGAGTTTGTTTTAATCCGCTTCTAATAAGAAATGTATATTTACAGCTTTACATGCAAGTTGTTAATGCTTTTTATACCTCGGTGTATTATGTTGCAAAAGACTGCACTGCTACCCTCGCTAACACCCAAATGAAACAAGGTGAAATGTAGATCACCTGTTCTTCTCTGGGGAAATACATCAAAAAGGAATGCAACTACTTTTACATTTGACTGCTTTGTAATGGGTATCTGTAAAGGAACTGGTGTAACTGAACAGCATCTCTGAATATGTAATAAACAGGTAAAGTAAACATTATAATTAAGTAGTCTTTTACAGTGTTAGAGCCACTATTTAGATCTACTGCAAAGCCACACAATTTTGTCCATAAAACATGTGCCTCCAAGTAGCCATTCCACTAAATTTCAAAAGGACTGTTACCATTGAAAATATTTCCAAACGATGAACAGATCTGGGACATGAGAACATGGGTATCCAGTCAAGCCCTGCAGTTGCATCTTTCACCCAGCCCAATTTACAAGTCACCACAAAGATCAACCTACTTCTCACTACCACAAACCTTGAAACTGTCACTTCTAGTGTAAGACAATTCTTGTGATTTCACTATTTACATCAGTGAACTCTGCTATTTTAAATTACTCTGCCAAGTCACTTGGAAAAGAGTGCTATAGAAACAACAAAAAATCTCCAGCACAGTACACTTTTTAATGCAATAAAACATTAAAACATAAAAATGCACAGTACAGTTTTTAATGTAATATTCTCTTTTCAAAATAGTAACTCAAGTTGCTTTGATATTAAGAATGCAACTTCCTGCAACTTCTGTTCTTCTTCGGGGGAAAAAAAAATTCATTGTTTCCATCATCATAATAAATAAAATGAAAATCAAAGGTGAAAACTCTTCAAAAGCTGGAGAATACAAGGTTTTCTAAATAGGGGAAGCATTTCATTTTTATTCATTAAGACTTGAGTTAATTCAAAATGTTTACTCAAAAGGGAAAGAACAGGAATTACTTCAAGTCCCATGACTTGAGATTAACATTCTACATCTGCAAATATTTCAAAATATTTGAATTGAGATTGAGCTGTAATAAAAAGGAATAAATTGTGGGAAAAAAGTCATGCAATAGCTAAAATAAGGACACTTTTTATGTTCAGGAAAGATATAAGGAGTAATTTTAAAAATTAATATTTGACCAAATGAAGAGTTTTTTTTTTGTTTAAAGGACTGTAGGAAATATCATCCGCATAAGTGGAAAATGTTATTTTTAACTTCCTACCAGAAAAATTAATGTGATTTATGTTAAATACAAGTCAGAAAGCAGCTATATGAAATAATGAAAAAGGAAATCCTGCTTCATAAAGCTATTATTTTTCTCCAGGTAATCAACAAGTGCATGGGGAAGGATGATCTGGTTGACACTGCAAGATCACCAGGATTTCTCAAATCATCTCAGTTATCATGGGATACAAAGGAAGTTGTCCGTGTACAATAATAGCAGATTCAACCACAAAAAACAAGTTGCTAGTTTTCATAAGGAACAGGACTTACCAGAGAAGCCTAAAATGAATATAATAAATGAAAAACTTCTATTCAAGTCAACAACATATGAACTGCTTTGCCAATAGTGATGAGGCAAACATTTGCAATTGCACACCCACACATGTAACACTTTCTAAACTGTCTTTAACTCTTTCAGAAAGATCTTTAAAATCACTGTTTTCAGAGGACTCTTCATAGGGCTCACGTTTTGAAGACTTTTAATTCCCATTACCATCTTACCAAAAGACGCTAACAAAATATGAGGTTCGGAGAGGGATAACAAGGATGGTCAGAAATATGGAACGTCTCCCTCATGAGAACGAACTAAACGGACTCTTAGCTTAGGTGCAACCAAGGATGGAAGGAAGTAAAGGTCTGTGGAACTATGAATGGCACCGATAGTTTTGGTGGGTAGCTGATGAGTGAAAAACAATACATAATTCTTTCTTATTCTTGCTACCAGATAGCATATTTTAAAAGTAAAAAAACAAAAAAAAAACCAAAAAAACCCCACTTTTTTACAGAATTTCCTAATTAAATTGGGAAAATGCCAGAAACAGTGTTACAGTAGATGTTAAAACAGATTTAAAAAATAAAATAAAATAAAAAACAGAGATTCCTGGGAATAAGGTCCTTCAAGGGCTAGCAAAGGAAAAAAAAATAAATCAATAAAGATGCAAACACTATAAATTCTGAAAACACAGACTTCTAGAAACTAAGACAAACAAGTTATACTTGTTTTGTTTGGCTCCCTTGCAGGACACCACATTAGATGGAGTTTTTCTCTCAGGATAATTGTTCTTATATGCCAAGTCTCACAATAATTTCTCATTACGATTCCAGTAAACTGGCATTTTGCTCATTATTACTTTTTTTTTCAAAATGTTTTTATGAAGTCAGTACAGTTAGCCAATCTCTGTCCTGTGCTTTTAAGAAGGGCTATGACAGATGTCTTAACTCTAAGCCATCTCATTTAAAACTACTGAATTTTGAAAAAACAAATGATACAAAAATACATCTAACACCTTCAGATTACATCAAACATCTTTACCAGCAATCACATCACAGGACAGATGCTTTCCTTCTTTGCCTACATTATATACCATTTAATTCTCACATAGATTTTTCTCCTAAATATTGTTTACTGATGACATGACAATAACCTTTTTTTTTTTTTTTGGGGGGGGGGGGAGGAACTGCCTCTTAATCTACTTTTCTTTAAAAGAAAAGTGAAAGTTGGCATATTTTAAATTATTCCCTGACAAGCAAAACAGATCAATGACCTGTGTGTATCAAGTAAAGTAATTAATATGGTAAAAGTTTGGGTTTTTTTCCAGTTAATTTTACTTCCTCCCTGAAAAGCTAAAGCATATATATTGGTATTTAGGTATCGACGCAACTGTGGATAAACTGGATGATTATGGAAAGCAGAAACCTGTTAGATGACAGACTTTTTTTTTCCCCGCCTGAAGATAAATGTATTTGGAACCTAGCATGCTATTTCTCCAACACAAATAACCAACTACACCCCTGCAAAATCTTTATTCAATTTTTTTTTTAAAACAACTTCTCTACTATTATCAATTTACCTGTTTTTCTTCTGCATTTAAAATACTTTTTTTTCCACAAGTCCATGAGCATGGAGTCTCTCGTAGAACTTGCAAAATAATGAGGCAACACAGACTCACAGACTCACAGAATTGTTAAAGTTGGAAGGGACCTCTAGAGATCATCATTTCACCTGGCTGTATAAAAGCACTCAACTTCCAGGAGTTCAGAAACATTATATACTCTTTTTTTTCCCCTGCCCACTAAAAATAGCGAGAGCTGGAAACACAGTTATCAAATTAAAAGCAGCCAACTCTGGCTTCAGTTCGCCTAGGTTACAACTGCATAATGCTCGAACCCTAAACTGCATGAGCATAACATTCTATTCTGAATACCTGCTTTGCTTTAGCTCCAAGTGCTATCTACTGCCACAACGCATTGCTGGAACAGAGAACCATAAATAGGTTTTAAAAAGAACATATCGACCTATCAGCATTAGAAAAACAAATTGTGAACCAAAAAAGAAGTTATTACATGATATTTATAGATTCTCACACCACAAGTATATTGGACCTAAGCTTCCAAATGAGAAAACCCTCATTCTGTGCTTTTACAACACAGTGAAGTTATCGGGACAAAGGAGAAACCCAGAATATAGAAACTGAGTAAAGCACAGAAATAAATTTTAAAGCCAACAGTGGAACTAGCCAAGAAATTTGGAGTATTTTACTTCATAGTTTAAGTCTTCTCAGTATCCTGGTTACACTGTTATTTCATTTGGCTGAAGCCTACAGAGTCCCCCCTTTCAACGCCTTCTCCCTTTACTACATTGCATAAGACTGTTCCTAACCACACAGGAAAGGAGCTTGATAGGATCAACAAGGGAGAGTAAAATTATTCTTGCAAAAGTTGGCACTACAATTAAAGTAGATTAAAGCAACTATTTGTCTTCAATAACAAATGCATAATTTTCAAGGACTCTGAACATACAGGACAAATACCAAGTAGGCTTTCGATATCAACTTCAACTGGACTTTTTATTGCTAGAAGTACAAAAACCATCAAGAAGAAAAATTAATGCCAGGAAGTTTTCATCATTTAAATGTAACAGTTCATCTCTAATAAGAGCATATATATGAAGAAACTGGTCTCTTCCTTGACACCAGGGAAATATCCTCAAATATTTAACAAGCAACATAAAAGTAGGAGTTTGACCTAACAGAGGATGTTTCATTTTAAATACTATCCAAATAACTTTCAAAACAGTTAAAACATTATGACAAATATCCATGCATTTCTGCAGGAGCAGCCTCAGCTCCCACTATTTTAGCCCAACAACTTCAATTTGCTCAAACCTGTAGTTCACCTATAGACTTGCCAGACAGCTCTGAGGAGTATCTGCAGACTTACAGGGCTCTAGCAAAACCTGATTCCCAAAACAATTGCAAAACAAAACAAAACAAAAAAGAGCCTCACACTAACAGAAACGAACTGAGCAGGGGGAAAAAAACTGCTATGAGCATTTAAAATTAAGATGATTTTCAAGCTTTTAAAGTCCTGCAGGGCAAGCACATCCAAAGGGCACTTCCCAACTTTTCTCCTACCCTC